CGCCGCTGCGAAGGTGATCGGCCGCGCGGAGCAGGGCCTCGCTGGTTTTATTCGTCCCCCGCAGCGTCTCCGGGTCGCTGCAGCTCGCCATGATGCAATTCCGCAAGAGTTGAACCCCCGAGCGGGACATGGACAGGCGGAACTCCTCTGCCTCCTCCGGAAGAAGCCGCGAGGCCGTCGGGCCCGCGCGGGCGAGGTAGCTTTGCCCGCCTATAAAAACCCCCCGATGCCGCATCGTCGGGGCGGTCAACGTCCCCGTTTTGTCCGTACACAACACCGTCGCGCAGCCCATCGTCTCGCAGGAGGCCAAATCCCGCACGAGATTCCCATCGTGGAGCATTTGTCGCATGCTGTAGGCGAGGGAAAGGGTCACCGACAGCGGCAGCCCCTCCGGCACCGCCACCACCACCATCGCAATTGCCGTCATGAGATCCTCCCCGACCATCCGCAGGGCGAAAATCGCCCCGTACACGAAATAATCGTAAAGCTGCTTAAAAAGCAGGACCGAAAAGGTGCTGACGGCCACTAAACTCCCGATTTTCCCCGCTAGGCCGGCCAAAAGCTGGAGTTGGTCTTGCATGGGGGTGTTGAGCTTCTTGACGTTTTGGATCGTTTGGCGGATCTCCCCCGCGAAGGACTGCGCGCCGACCGCGCAAACCACCGCGAAGCCCTCCGCCGAGCCGTCCAAGACGGCGGAGCCGCTAATCAAAAAAGGATCGGCCTCCGCGAGTTTGTAGACCTCATCGTTTTCCCCGGTAATCATCCCTTCATCGACGATGACAGGGCCGAAACTCGAAATTAAAAGCGCATCAAAGCTGAGCTGCATCCCTGCTTTGATCTGCACAACATCCCCAACTACCAGGTCGGAGCTTGGCAGCTCCAACGTGATCCTCGACGGTATATTTCCACCCATACCAGGAGTATGTCCATTACTAGTCGTATTAATTCTAATGGCATGAGGATCGTGCGCGCTGGGAAGGTCACTGAAACGCCAGGTGGTGATCCGCATCCAAGAGGCATCCCCGGCGCTGGCGACTTGATGAAACTCTTCCTGTTTCTTGTACTCATTCACAGCGTTGACGATGGAAACGATGGAAATCGAAAGAAAGATCGCTCCGCCTTCGATCAAACCGCTAAGACCGTTTACCTCTCCCGTATGAGGATCCGGCATGAACATCCCGAATACAGACGTTATTATCGCCATTACGGTAAGAATTTGAATCATCAAATCCTCTTTAATCGATTTTACAGCGAAGCTCCAAATCGAATTTCGTGGAGGCGGGGGGAGGACATTCGCGCCATACCGCAACCGGCGATGCGCTACCGAGGATTCATCAATTCCATATCGTCGATTCCTGGAAGAAAACGAAGGTACGGTCATGGATCCGTTTGGCTCTCCTTCCTCAACCACGCGGACGTTAAGCTCCTGCAAGACGCCCTCCGTCCCTCCAAAAAGCTCATCTAAAGCGTTATTTCGTTTATGCCCAATGATTGAAGGGAGCTCCTTGATGAGGGAATCCTTTTTCGAGATGCCGGTGCGGAGAGGCCGGATCTCAACCCCGATAGAGTCCTCATCCTTCGAATAATTATAGGCTGAATGCCTTTGATTTACACTGCTGGCAACGAGCTCCATACAGTAATTTAAGGGTATTATCTTTTGTTATATCGCTTTTTATGTCTATTTATGCATATATATATTTATATATAGTGTAAATATAGATGCCTAGCCAAATGAATCTGTATGCTTAACGATATCGAAAATGGTAACTTGATCAAAATCCTTAAAGGGTAAAAAGGTAGGATAAAAAACATCCATCTAACTTAGATACAATGTTTAACCTCAATCACCTTTTGGAAAAATTGACGAAGTATACAATTTTCAACCATATGCATGCGTATAAAAAAAGTTGTATAGACGCTACTATGGCTTGAAAAAACAACAATACTCACAAGCTACAATTGGAGAGTAGCATAAAGATAATAACAATAATAATGATACAAAGTGAAACTCATTGCGTCGTCTGGTACAAATACATTTATGAGTTACCTTTCATTCTCAAAATGAATATTACCCTTCATTTAGGGAAGCAAATAGAAAAATGCATTTGGAAATATCGGTTGTGTAATAAGAAGGAAACCAAAATAATTGTCCTTTTGACGGTCGAATGAATATTTTTTTACACCTTCATTGAGGTTCAAAATTAATAGAAATATCTATCTCCTATTATCTCACCCCACCCTTCTTTTTTTTTTTATTCGCAAGCGCTCAGCAGTTAGTTCACCACGTCATCCTCCATCAACTCTTTTCGTATTTCCGCCATTTCGTTCGGTGTGAAGTCGTTTTCCGCATGGAGGAGGGTTCGGATGCCAAAGATGTTTTTATAACATAAGTACGACGCCAGCTTCGCGGAGGCCAATTCCAAAAGCATCGCGTAGTTTAACATTGTCGCGGCCTTGATCATTCGCATCGTCATCGTTTCATCCCAATCTTTGATAAAGCGCTGATCGACCGGGTCAAGATATTCGTTCAGTGGGAGTACCATCGGCCGCGGGATCTCGCGCCATCGGACGCGTTGAACGACGTAGTACGCGTTCCCATTCATCACCTGGAGGTGGTGGTGGGCCGTCATGTGCTCACAAACCCGCTCAAGGATGTCCCCGGTGAAATACGGAAACGGGACCTCCACAACCCCTAGAGAAGCCTGCTGGGGGGTAAGACAACGCACGCGCGGGTCTATCGCCCCCTCCGTCTCACGCGTCAGAAGGTGATCGCTGCGAGAGAACCCGTTGCACACGTCGCGATTACCTGTATGCGTGTTAAAACTAACATTAGTAATAGCCGTAGTAATGACAGTTGTACCAGGAGTAACCGCAGTACCAGGAATAACTCCAGTGACCGCAGTACTAGGAGTAACTGCAGTGCCATAAATAACTCCAGTGACCGCAGTACTAGGAGTAACTGCAGTGCCATGAATAACTCCAGTGACCGCAGTACTAGGAGTAACCGCAGTACCTGTAATAACTGTCGTGCCAGGAGTAACCGTAGCAATAGGAGTACCAGTAGTAGCCATATTAATAGTCGAAATAAGGGTATTCGTGCTCGTATTAATAGTTCGGTTGACATTCGCGTTTAGCAGGGATGAGGACATGCAGGGCCTGTCACTCAGCCCCTGCATGTCGTCATCCCGAAAAGGGACGGATTCCCCGATGGTGTCGATCCCGCCCGAGTTAAAATCCATTGTGAGGGGGTTGGTATCAGCAAACTCTTCGTTTATACACGAGATCAAGGAGTAATTCGACTTCGTGTTTTCATTACTTTTCTCAAATACGTGCAGGTTACAACGTTCCTTTGACAAAGAACCACTGTCAACGTTATCATTGTATAATCCCAAAGGATTATATGCTTTATTTTCTTGACTTACATCAGCCTGGATGTAATCATCCGAATCAAGGAGATCGCGAAGGACGTAGCTGACCTCCGTCGCGATCGCACGTCGTACATAGGCGCGTTTTCCATCTAATCCGATCAAAGCTATCATCAAATCGGGAAATAAACTTTTCGTAATATTTATTCTCTTTTATTATTATTGATATTTTACTTCTTTAACTAATGTTGAGGTGAGTGTCCCCTTCCGAAAGAGTTTCATGAGGCTATGAAGGGGAAAATTACAGAAAAAGTTTACCATTAAGCTTAACAAGAGTCGCAGTTGATTTAGAAATGAAAAAAAAAACGACTTAGTTTTTTACAACTTGAAATTTACAGAGAAACACACACAAAATTCAAACTCACCTTTCATAACCCATCCAAAGGTCTATTTTTTTTTCAATGAGGAATAGGTGGTAATTCTGGTCTTTCCCAGGTGGTAGTTTCGATGCCTGTGAGTGGATGGCGATAAACGTAGTAGGTTTGCTGATATTCAACCGAAAACACTGGACGCCAACCAAACGGAAGAGGTCCCAATGAATCGTAGCATATTGTCGAAGTAGAAGCTGAGGTGGGGAGAAATAAATCTGACACGTTAGGTCGATGTTGCGTTTCATTGATCCTCGGATCCATCCCCTCATTATGCGCCTGAGAAGGCACTGAATGCTCACATTCTTTAACAACCTTATCCAAGGTGTGTGATGAATTTGATAAAGAACGCTTACGATGTCGTCGATGTTCGTGATGATGATGACGATGTCGATTATGACGGCGATATCGATCCGACCAATTACTATCACTGCTTCTACAGCTTTGCCCATCGCTTCTGTCGAGAGAGTGTGATCGATATCTTTGTGGTCTTCTTTGCGCTTTCTGACCCCTCAAACTATCATGGCTGCTCTTTCGAAGTCTATCACTTTCCTCCATTTGAAAGTCGCTTGGTTGGGGTTGCGTGATGGTGGGTCTAGGCGATTTTATTGGTGGTTGCCGATGTGAAGAAGCAGCTCCAGAAAAGGTGTTTAGCACCTTCCGTTCGTCGATAACGGAATTTCGATTCGAATAGGCCGTGCTAATATTCTTTTCGTTGTTGTGAGAGGCCTCGGGCGCTTCCAATAAACTCCACGCCGCACGAAAACACGGCCCCAACACGCCTTTTATCAGTGCCTTTTTCGGATTCAACTCGAGGAAGATTTCGGAATTGCGGATGGAGAAAACCCGCCCATTATCGTCCACCCAGTCAGGAAACTGCCCGGAAGCCACAATGAAGGCCTTCACGGAGAACCGCGCCTCGCAGCTCTGCACTCCCAACTTAATTGAAATCTCGCCCGACGATGAAGCAAAGTCCGCCTCATCTTTCTCTTGCAGTTCGCCCATCCCCCTCTCATTTTCCCCACCAGTAGGGCCGTCCCCCACGGCGGCCACACGATTCTTATTATTATTATTATTATTATTCGTATTATTAAGATTATTTCTATTATCTGAATTATTCGAAGGGGGGCTTGGATGGGCGCGGCTTTGGGAGTAAATGGGGCTCATGAGCTCGACGAGGAGGCCGTTGAAGGTAGCGACGACCTCGGCCGCCTCGTCCGGGGAGGAAAACTCGACGAGGGTGCGGGTCCTCGGCAGGCCCCCCGCCGAGCCGCGGTGGCGGGAAGTGACGCGGACTTTATTCGGCCAAAAGGACGCCGCGCGGAGGGTCTGGAGGAGGATATAAGGGGTCAGGCGGAAGGGCTGGGAGGACTCCCCGCCGCGATAGTCCACCAGCTGAAAGTCCAGGACCACCGGGCCAAACGGGCGCCGCAGGGGAGGGGCCGTTTGGAGGTCAGCGAGATGGCCATCGTCCGGCATGACAACAGGGGGAATTTATTTTATCTTTTTTTTTTCGGGGAGGGGGGGGGGAGGGGGGTGCTTTATGGTTTTCTCTTATGAGGAATGCTGACAGGGGATGGAGAATGGAGACGGAAGTTGGGGAAAGCGTTATGCACGTTCCTTTCGGGTGGGCCAACCGTTTTACGTTGGAGATCGAAAGGGATAAACTGCGAAAGATTTAGCCTAGGTTTTCGGTTTATCGATTAACAGCATTACCTTCAAAAGGATATGATTTAAAGGAAGATTACAATTCGTAAAAAAAAATATTTAGCCAAAATACAGACACCGAAGAGACCTACATCCATAATGTTTCTTCAAGTATATACAAATATTCATCAATTATTTTAAAAAATACGTTTAATACCAAAGCACGCGTGCGTGGACACACTTATTTTAAAGAAGTATGAGACTTGCTAGTTCAGCGACAAGCATAGTCGTAATTTGTCTTTAAAAATATATTCTCAGTGTTAAAATATACAACGAATTATGAAAAACAAGGTACAATACTCAATCATTTCCTGGATACAACCTATTAAGGATCAATAAAGGTAAGTACCTTATTTACCAGAGCAAAGATTTTCAATATTACCAACATTTCCTATTGAGTTGAACGAAGTATGGGCTTTCAGCCTGATGATCTTTCTGTACATCAATCAACTTTCACAGATTTTTTTATTCGTTTTTAAACACTCTAGGAAGGGCACAATACATTCGAATTCATTTAGCGGAGGTTGACTCTCCAATAAAATTAGCAAAAGAAGGCTCAACCAAGTTGTAGTGTTGCACATTAAAAAAGAGAAAAAGGAGCTACTATCACCCTAAAACCTCAGTGTAAGTACATCCGAAGGATATGCTAGGTTACTAAGAAGATTTCATCAAAATATTTATTTTTACTCGAGTACCTTTCAAAAGACACCTTCATAAGTCTCTACCAAAGAAGCAACATCATTTAGGTATCCAAGAAATCAGGAAAACTAGCATATCGGGGCAAAGGTAGCTTTATATTCCATGGTGAAATGGTATTTATCTTTCTATCCATTTAAACCATAATCATTCCCAACACGTATAGAATGACAAAAAGGAAAACGTTTAGTCGGCATTTGTGTAGATGCAAAAAATCTGAAATCTTAAAATGTAGACAAAAGTATCTTCATTTTGTAGGTATGGACTACCTTTAATCGATTCAATTCGTATTTTGGGATGAAAAAAATGGTTTCGAAGTGCTTATACAGTTAATACTAGTAGCATTGGCCGCGTTATCGAGGACAATATTGAATGATCATAAAATTCAAATGGGGTGAAAATACAAGTTCGTCATATGTTTCGATTAATAGTATGAGCTTTCTGAATGGATGGTAAAACGTATCTCAAATAAAAAAACACTTGATTGAGTAGATGCAAAAATGAAAAGAAATCTCGTAAGGGAAGGAATTGATATTGGTTTCTATTTTTTAGGGCAATAACATCAAAAAAATTCCTTTACACTTTTTGAGATAATTAAAAGAATAAAAATATAAAAGTAATATTAGACCGATTAGGTTGTGGAGATCTTCATTGTTTCGACACAGAGACAGAGAGATCATATATACATATATATAGATAGATAGATAGATAGATATATGTATCGAAATAAATGCTTTAATATCCTAGGAGGAGATAAAATTAATACAAAAACAATCATGAAAACGTACACAAATTACCACCATAAAACATTGCGATTTAACCTCTGTAAATGAATAGTTTTACTCTCCGTCTGTGTCATAGTATTTGCATATACTATCGAAATGTATCAACTCTTATTAAAAATTTTGGCCCAGAAAGAGCAAGTAAAAATAAGGAACTATAATCATTTTTTCCATTGTAGGTATTCAAAATCATGCGATCCACAATTTTCCCCCTTATTTATGTTGTACCAATTTGCTATCCTATTGCAAAGGCGTGCTAAGTACTAATCACCTCACGTCTATTCCCAATCGCGCGACTCGGCACGTTGAAGATCCTTAAAAGTCGCTCAACAAACTTCGAATCACCGCAGATTGTTTTGCCGGGGCTATCCGACACCTTCGCGACCGGGCGGCCCTGACATCGCACCATCTTAATAACGATATTAAGCCGTTTTACCCCGTCAATGGTGCAGCTGAGGTAGGTCCCGACCCCGCACATCACCGTGGTCTGCGCCTTAAAGCGATTATACAACCCCACCGCTTTCTCCAGATTCAATCCGTCGGAGAAGACGAGGACTTTATCCTTCGGATCGATCCCTAGCGCGCGGTAGTGTTCGATCGCCTTCTCTCCCCACTCCACGGGATCTCCACTATCCTGTCGAAGCCCGATGTAGGTCGAAGCGAGGGCTGAGTTAAAATCCTTCAAAAAGGCATCCATCGTAATACAATCGGTAAGCGCGATGCCCAGGCAATTGGGGTATTCCACCAACCACATTTGCATCGCCATCGCCTGGGAGCTGCGAAGCTCTGGGGCGAGTTGTTGAAAAGCCTGATACCACTCGTGGGCCTGGGTGCCCACCGCCGGGATCCCCACCCGCCGCGCGAGATCGCAATTACTCGTCCCGACTAAATACCGCGAAAAGCGGGGATCGGCGTGGAGGGCGCGAACGATCGCCTCGTGAACGGCCCGACTAAACCGCCGGCGGGAGCCGAAGTCGGCGATGCGGAAGCTCGCCAACTCCGCCGCGTCGTGGGCGGCGAAGAAGCGATCGAGATTCCCCCGTAGCTTCCGAAGGGCGTCTTCGACGCCTTTGGTGGGGTGCCGCGCGCGCTGGACGACCTCGCTGATAATCGCCAGCAAAGGGATCTCCCACAGGATCGTCTCCACCCACGGGCCCTCGATCTCCAGCACCAGGCGGGAGGGGGTGTTGGGGCCCCGGGACTCCGCGCGGAGGTGGACCTGGCGCGGGTGGAATCGGTAGGATTGGAGGTATCGCAGGTAATCCGGCTTGAATTGGGGCAGCCCGGCGAGGTAGTCAAACTCCGCCGGGGCGAGGACGACGGCGGCCATGCGGTCCACCTCCTGCCGAATCGCCTCGACGTGCTCGCCGAGGTGGTCCTCATCGCGGAGGCTGAAGGCGTAGCCGGCCCGCACCCCGCGGTGCTGGTGGAACACGGCCTGCTGCATGTAGAGCTTGTAGATGTCGGTGTCCAGGAGGGAGGTGATGATGGGGCCCCGCGGGGGGAGGGGGGGGTCGGCCGGGTTTTGCATTGAATCCGGGCTTTTCGGAAGGGGGGGGAGGAGGGGGGATCTGAAATAAGGGAAATAACGCTTTGGTTTATCACCCGCTTTGGTGTCGCGCTCCTGCGCTTGTTCACTAGGGATGGATCGGTATCCCACTCAAGGGATCGAGTGATCACAGTATGGATCGACGGGTCGGCCTCTGCAACGCGTTCCCGGTGGAGCGGTGTTCCTTTGAAAGGAAGACGGTGAGGTGTCAATAATGGAATGAGACGAAGTACTAAACGTGAAAAATGAAGAGGGGGGGAAAGAAAAACAAGATTATTGTAAATGGAAATACACGGAGGGAATAGCATCGGCAATAAGGATGTCGGAATTGGATGGGAGTATCATTTTGGATCGCACGGGTGAACGAATCGAACAGGCGCCTTTTATTTTTAGTCGTGACGAACTGCTAAACCAGAATAATAGGGATTAACAAGACACATCGTGGGGATCAACGGCCGCGTCTTTCGGCGACTCACACCCACAGAAAGCCCTGTGAAGTTGGCAAATAATAGTCTACAACACCCTTCGTAAAGCATCCCAGGAATCCCACCAACCCCACATGTAGGGAACTCAGTCAAGTTAAATGACATTGAGGCCAAGGAGTTTTCAGCGCCAAATGGCGGTGAGTTTGCCTCTCATAGGGGACTGAAATCCAGGCGACTTCCCTCGGAGGCCTTCTGCCGAGATCAAATGCGATTGAATTTGTATTTTCGAGCGTACAAATTGCGCCCGTAATCGAGCGCATATAGGAGGGGGAGAAGGAAGGAAATTCCAGTTTTTGATAGGCTCTAAATGTTGTCAAAGGTACCAAAAGGCCGCGTACAAGAATCATTGGCGTGTACAGCAGTTGATGTTTTTCTTTCTTGCACGGATGACATTTGTTGTTTTCTATAAAATTTTGATCGCCATATTGTCCCTTCCACAATAGGTGTTTTACTATATGAGAAAAAAGTGAAGGATAGAAATAACAAAAATCAATGGAAAGAGGTGATAAAAGCATAAGTAGAAAGCGACCATAAATGGTGAAAAATTCAATAAGTATGACGGTATAAAAAGCAAGTGAAACTTAATTTGTGAACTAATAGTATATGGGTGTATGTATACGTATATAAATCTATCGATATATATATATATATGTATATATATATATAAATAGATAAATATAGATATATTAGGCTCTTTAAGATTTTTGAAGCGAGACACCTTATCGGAGTTAGTGCACTGGATCGAGAACGCCAAGCATTAACGATATTTTCCTTTCAGGTTTGATTGCAAGCAATGGCTTCTCCAAGCAAGTTAATGTAAGAGCCCCATTGCGGTGAGGTTTTCAATTATGCTTTCCCTTAAAAAATAGTTCTCCTGTGCCGCATACTATGCAGTCCGATTATATAATCTTAGCCCAATCCCCATCACTGCCGAGAAAGGCGCGGCCTTTCAAAGACGATGATGCTATACAGCGCCTCATGAAACGATACTCGTGAATAATCTACATGTTTATTCTCCTTTAGCGAAAATCATCGGCAGCCATGAGAAGTTGCGTAATCACCTTCAGCGCCATCAGAAAGGAGCCAAAGGCCTCATCGCACTGCGCGTGATCGTCCGCCGAGACGGCATTCAGACGGCGCCACGCGTCGGGGAGCTCAGCAATAAATAGCAGCAAATCACTCAGGTGATGTTTATCCGCCGCCTTGACGACGACGCTTTCGGGGATGCCGAGGTCAGGGCCCTGGGGAAAACTCCCTCCATCCTCCCCCGCCGCCTCGAGGCCGGCGGCGATGGATGGGGCGGGGTCGCCATGGGGGGCCCCGGGGAGGGCCTCGGGGCGGGGGGAGCGGCGCAGACGCGTCTGCGCCGCGAGATCGGTCGAGGAGGCGCTTCGCAGGGAGTCCTGCGGCGAGCTCCCCTCCCAGGACCCCTGGGGCCTGGAAAAGGCCTTTTTGAAGGACGGCACCGACATCGACTTCGACAGCCCGCCCGGCCCGCGCGGTGAAAAGGCCGTGTCGGTCGGGAATGCGGGGAATTGGGGGGTCTCCTTCCCGGGCAAACTTTCCGCGCTCTCTGAAATTCGCGGGGCCGATTGCGCGCGCGCGAGCGGGCGTCGCAGCACCGGCATCTTCGCCAAAAGGCGGTGTGGGGGAGGACTGGGCGGGGGTGGAGATGACGTTCTTCGCGGTGGGCGTCGTCGAGGGGATGGCGGACGACCCACCGGCCTCCTGCCCGGCCCGCGAGCTCAGCGACTCCAAATAAACAAACAGGCGATTGTAAAAGACCTCCAGGGCGTCGCTCACGCTTCGATTTCCCCCGATGGCGACCATCATCCGGGTTAAATGCCGCATGATGTGGTGGAACTCCAAAACAAAGCGCCGGCTATACTTCCGATCGCACGAAAATGAATGCGCGGCGGCGAGGGATGGCGCCGAGGGCTCCATCGCGCCGTGGGTAAAAGCGGTGGAGGAGGCGCTCCCATGCATCCCCGACTCGGAAAGATTCGACGAGCATGACTTCCCCCTTTTCCCCTCCGTGGCATTCCCATGCGCGGCGGCGCTAAACGTATTCAAGGTCGATCCCGAGGTGACTTTCTCGCCCCCCGTCGAATTTGGCATCATCGCGCGTTGGACCTCGTCGAGTTGGACCTGCCATCGCGTGCGCATGGCCTCGCCGAAGATCCCTTGATGGAGCTCCGCGAGAACGCGGTGCTCCTCCAACAAGGCCGCCACGCGATTCATCCCCGCGGTGAAAGCGTCATCCAAGAAGAGCTGGGATTCATCACACCACAAGGCCATAATAACATTACACAACCCGCAGACCTCGTCGTAGCTCCCCAGGCGATCCGAAATGCGGCCTCGGAGGTTGTAAAAGGCCCCAAAAACTGCCGTGCCGTAGTGGAAGGCGAGTTGGTCCGCCACTCCAAAACACCGCTTGACGGCGGAAAAAATACTGACCGTGTTCGGGATAATCGCGTGATTCTTCCCATGGTAGAAGTCTATCAACGAGGTACAAACCCGTTTGATATTCCCTTGCTGCCGTTGAAGTGAAAGAGAGGAGATCTTGGCAATGTGCGCCATCATTTTCTCCAAACCTTTTCCTTCCCCAGGGCCCCCGCCGCGCTGAAAGAGTCCATAGCCCTTCCTCTCCTCCTCAGTTCCCATCAACGGATCGAAGTGAACGGCTTTTGTACCAAAATAATACCGAAAAACAACAGGATCAACGGCGTAATAAAGCTCCACCAACTTCCGACGATCTGAAATGGGGATAGGAAGGTAATTGCAGGAGAGAAAGGCATAGGGCTTGTTGACCCCGTGCTCCATCTCCTCCGTGAGGTAATTATAAAGGTTGTACTGCTCAATGATCTCTTCTCGCAAAAGCTGCATTAGCGTTGTGGGCCCGACCGAGGCTAAGGATTTATTCTCCTTCGCCGACTCAACAGAGGTGTCCGGCTCCAAGTTAAAGAGGTAGTTTCGGTATTCCTGATAATTAAAGTGAACATTTTGGGGGAGGCCCCGTAGGAAGAAGGTATCCGATGAAAGGCCATCGGCCGAGTGCTTTCGATTAGAAGTCGTATCGATCGGATCGTCGTTGGGATGCAAATGCTTCGAATGCCCTTTCTTCCTGAGTAAGACGCTTCGGGGATCAGAAAGAGACTGCGCTCGTGCATACCCGGCCGCGACGGCCAGTGTGGCGAGGGAAGGAAACACCTCCTCGAGGGGGTTTAGAAGGGAATCCTCCATTTTACCGCCAAAATGTCGACAAGGGCCGTCCAAATCGTGAGCGCATTTAACCTGCGGATTGGAATGCTTTATGGCGCCGCCATATGGTTGGCCTGACAAAGAATGCACCCGATGGGCATGCGTATGGCGTTCACGTCGAGAATGAACTCGCCTTTTACCACGTGAAGGCGGTATTTGCGGCGACTCCGACGCCTCGGGCCTCTCGCCTTCAATCAACGCAGCATGCAGGGATTTCGTGGTGGTATTGGTTGTCTTTTCGCCGTTCGCCTCCATGGTTTTATCGCCCAAGTGGGTTTCATTAAAGGAGACATGGGAGCGTATAAAGGACAGCATTTGGCTGGAGGTGCTTATTGATAGTGAAAGACTGCTACAGGATATTCGCCTGCTTTCTTGCACAAGAAACGATCTTAGGTATTCCACCACCTCATCCGGCGTGCATCCTGCGAGGTAGCTGTGAAATATCTGGAAGTTGATCCTAGATGGCCATGTTGTACGGGAGTGCATAGACACACATATTGACATCTACCACAAAAATGAGGGGGTACTAACAATAGTGTTGGTTTTAGGCTTTCTGCTCCTACTAGGTGAATGGCAATATATATTGTTTTGTATAATAATAACAGATATTAATAGTCTAACCAGGGTGTTACCAGTAGCTTTTCCCCTTTTAGACGAGTAAAGTAATCAAAAAAATAATGCTAATCTAAAGTTGATAAAGAAGAAAAAGAAAACTCTTAATTAATGAAATATTCACTAAACAAATTAAGACAATTGCTCTCAGGACAATGTTTTATATCTCTTAGTGGGATTATGGACTCGTTTTGTTATTGATGTTAGATCACTACTTCACAAAATGTCAAACTTTCAGTTCCTCCTCCTTTCCTCTTCGTGCCGAACTGCTCAAAAGCCAAGCTTGCTCATCATATCAAATATCCTTTTACTTGACTGTTGAGCAGGTACGGGAGCTTGTGGGGTGGGTTGCACCTCCCCACGCGACCTACCCCGCTTCCTGGTCTTTGGACCGGGAACTAATACGCTTTGCGTGGCAGACAGTGATGTCAACCCTAAGGCTCCATGTGGAGAGTGCGTTTGCTTCTCATGCATTAAATTGGCTTCTTTACTACCAGCCTGCTTCTTGGTAACTTCTAAACCTGGAACTTTACTATGGAGTGGGGACTTCTCCCCAGGTGGTGGTAGCAGCGGCTTTGGTTTCTGTGGAGGCTCAGAGGGCGGGGTGGGTTTTGATTTCACGCCACCACGCCGTACCGGTCCTTTCGGGATATCAAAATGCAACTTTTGAGGTGCCGGGGACGACGTCCACGATGCTTTTTTCAACGTTGAGGCCGTTTTCACCGACCGATTGCTAGCAGAAGTCTTCATTTGAATTGGTGAACTCTTCTTCGCTGCGCGGCGTGACCACCAAGCACGTTTACGACGACGTTTTTTAACCTTGCAGAGATCCGTAATACAGCGGAAGTGATGCCCAACCATTATATTGCCCTCCTTAGAAATGTCTTTTGTTTGCTTACCGCTAGGGCCCATCGCACTACACGATACGGCTGAACCGCTCGATGCTTCCTTTTCCTTTTCCTTTTCCAAAGGCTGAACCTCTAACGTTTGAAGACGGATTTTATCCTTCTTAAGCTTCAGGACCGCACGACGAGATTGTAGTCGAAAGCAGCGGGCACACACTTTTACTGTGTTGGGAGCTTTCACACGTTTATTTGCAGGACCGCTGGGTAGCGAGCAGTGAATGGGATCCACATAAAGCGCGGTGGACGTCGATGATGATGGCGCCGTTTGTGAGGCGTTGGTGGGGGAGGAGGACAAAGAAACCCCACAGCGCGGACACCATTGCCGGTGAGCCTTGCTGATTCGCCAGATATGCTGTGCACGCCCCTCATGAATGCCGTGTGAAAGCGCCTTTTTACTGCGAAAGGCGGGCCCCAAAGGCTTCGCGCTGCCTCTCCGCAGGGCGTGGGAGCCGTAGTGGGCGGAGAGATCCACCTGAAGGGATTCAATCACGCGTCGATTAAGAAGGTCACCGTGCGGCGGGAGACGAGAAGAGGATCCCGGCGGATTCTGGGATCCCTCCACGGAGGCCGCGAAACCGGCCCTCGGACCTTCCCCACACAGGCGGGATCGACCCTGGGGTTTACCATCGAGGGTGGTCGCCTTCTTCGGACGGCGCTCCCACAGAGGGTCTACCCGTGGAGAGGTTGTCGGGGTGGGGGTTTGGCCTATTTCGCCCAGCACGACGCGTGAGAGCGCGGCGCACATCCCCGCACCGAGGAGCTGGACGTAGAGCTCGAGAGGGGGGGGGGTGCTTTTCCCCAGTAGATTCCTCGCGTGCAGGGCGCGGCACAAGCTGTCCTCCGCCATGGCGGCCCTTGGAACAGCACCCACAAAACAGGGACGGGAAGGGCCTCTGAGGATAAAAGGGGGGGGTATAACAGGAGGGAACACAGATGGCTGTGGAAAAAATCGTACAGGGGAATAAACAGGGAAAATACACAGAGAAAGGGAAAGGGGGTTGACAAGTCAGTGAAGTAGTTATGGATTAATTTGGGGGGATTTCCTTGACACAGCACCAAGACCGTTTGATAAAATTCAAGCATGCTAAAGCTGTAAATTATCAAACATAAAGGGTTATTGAACGTGTGTGTCACCACAATTTTTTTATTGGTAGTGTTGATACGATTTTTTTGGGAGGGGTGTATAAAAAAAGTTATCGTACAGAAGATATCAATAAAAAAAAGGGGTTGGGAGGGTGAATCAATAAAGAAGAAAGCAAAATATACATTACATTGTACTTATTTGTTTACAGCTACAGGCAAAAATATAACAAGTGGAAATGATAATAGAGCGTGAAAAGGTTGAAAAATACACATTCCGCTATATCGAGTTCATTACAGCAATCACGAAATGCTAAGGGTAAATAAATACATATAGTTATAAATGATAAAGGAAAGTCTGAAACATATCCACCTGTTCACTTTATTCCTATACATAAATATATGTGGGATATATGATTTTTCTTTGTTACTTTTTCGCATCTAGTTGTGTTGTGCTTTCAAATCCCTTCATCAATCCAAGAACACTAAAGCTTGGGATTGATCCTATTGATCCCGGGTCTGTACTTGAGGGTAAGATTGTATGACTATAGCTTCCTAACGAGCTCTTTAGCCAAATCGCATCTAATGAGTTACCACTCATGGCAAGGTTCTTTTGACTCATTGTAGGAGTTGACCTCTCCGGGCTCGACTGTTTATCAGATTTCATACGAGCGTTGAGTTTGGTGCTAAAGGGGATCGTCCGGTTGAGTTTGGAGCCAAAGGGCATCGTCCGATTTAGTTTGGAAGGCCCGGATGAGGATATCGTCGGCACCTCCACCTCCTGCAGGGCTCGTTCAATCTCGTGCGAGGTATGCTCCCTTCTGAGCACCGATGAGGCGAGGGTTTCGAGAAGGCACTGGTGGCTTTCGTGAAGGAGGTCCTCAGGAGGGATAAACCACCCAAAGCGTTTGTGCAGCTTGTCTTGTTGGTGATGCCAAGTTGAATTGGGGCTGATTTTCAATCGGTTGGTGTTTTGAACCACATTCTTGAAAAAAATGACGTTCTTCTTGGAGAGCCCCACGTCGTCTTTGAGAAATTCAGATTCCACCGCGGGGTCGGAGGTGTGGACCGATAGCGATGTCGACAATACGTTTTTATCGTCCGCACTTTCCCTTTCTTCCGAGTCTTTGTCGTTTATTTCCGATCGTTTAGAAACCTGAGACGGCCGACCAACGATTTCGTTGAGGTGTGACCTCATCAAAGACATCAGCTTGGAATCATTCTCGGTAGAGGCCACATTGTCGCTATCACACCCAAAAGCAAAGCTCCGCTCGTGAACCCACATCATCAACGTGTCGATATCCTCCACCGAGTTTAAAGACGACAGGATATTTTTTACAGACGCTGCAGGAGATAATGCATCCCCACGTTTATCAGAGGTTGAACGTAGGCATTCACTGTCTTTCGGATTAGCAGGGCCATCGCGCAGCGGATGTATCCCAACCCAATCACGATACGCAGCCCTTCGCGCTTTCCATTGCTCGTTAATAAGTTTGATCTTGTATTCGTTCGAAGTGAGCATGTGCTGCTGTAGAAAAATGTTGATGACCGTCTCGATTTGCCCGGCCGCGGAGCACAAGGGTCTGTAGTACTGGAGCCTGAACCGAGACTCCATCTCTAAATGTTGCCACTGCCGTAGTATCCTCTGCATCGCACGCCGTTTCTTCAACAGACATCCTTGTAAAAATCTCTGGATGACACCGACGGCATTCAAAACTTCATGAATCTTGCGTTGTTGTTTCTGAGCCTCGATAAATTTCGACATAAAATTCACCAGAAGGTCGGCCGACCCCTGCAGTTCGCCCGGATCATGCCGCATGGCCCACTTAAAGAGCTTGGGCTGCTTGTACTGCCATAGCGCCTCCATTGGTAATAACTCACGCGTGCCCTGAGTGAGCGCCTCAATTTTGCTGGTAGATAATTCGCCCTCGGGTGGTTTATCGGGATGGCTTGTGGGTGTTTCCGCTGCACCAGTGAAAGGTAAGGTGGAGGTCAGAAACCCCTCTTTATCAGGCTGAGACGGAACAGTCGACTCCGTCCTGGACGAGCGTTTTTGGAAGGCTAACTTGTTCTTCGAGGCGGCCTCCAAAATGATAAATGGCGCAAGCGTAAAGGCCCGTGTCAGGGCTCCGGGAAGACTATCCCATACGAGTTGTTGGACCTTCTGAGGGGGAATAAGTTGGTATGCGGCCGCATCAAGTTCATCCTCATCACTCTCAGCGAATATGGTATTTTCATTGTTCTCCTCCTGTTCGTTTGGTAAAATCGAAAATGTTTGAACGATAATTCCACCACCAAACAATTTCGAAATCGATACATACTCGCGGAGTAGGACTCGAACGGTTTTTTGCATGGCTGCTGCTTCAGGTGCGTTCCTAGGATTCTTCTTAGCATTTTCAAAAAAATCGACTCGAACGCATAAAATACGCACCTCCTCTCTAAAGGGGATGCCATTGAATACGTAGCGTTCAGAAACTGGGTCTACCAGCAACCCTGATGAATACACAAGCCCTTCAGATGTTACCGCCTCCAGCGAAAACGGCCAGCATGAACAATCAAATCCCTTATTCGAAGGACTGTGCGTTGCGCCTTCGAGCGCTTCAAACCACGGCTCCGAAAATTGGAGTCCGTTGTGGCGATTTTGAAATTCCAAGTTTCGAAGATGAAAGCTTTTGCTGTCCTCATCCTCTTCATCGATGTCAACTCCCATGCCCTCTCGAGGGAGGTGATCCTCTGGACCACTAGGGCGTCTCATATGAGCGTCGCATTCCTCTGCCAGCGTGAAATTTTGAGTACTTTTCGTACACGACGATGGGGTCTGTTCGCATGGTATGAAGGTGTCCAGGTTTGAGTCGAGTAGCATTCTCATCTCCGACCGCCGCTGCGAGCATTGGGGCGATAGGAAGGCGTCACCGGGCGAATTATTCCGTGGATCCTCCACCAATCGCGTCAATGGCGGGAAAGAGCTGGCTTTGGGATCGAAATTAGATAAATTGGAAGCGCTTGAGTCACTAATCAATCCTAAGGGCTTTGTCCGTGACACCAGCAGTCCCTCCAGAGGTGTTTGGGTCAAGCTCGTGCGCGATGAATTCATTGAATAAGGCCTAAGGCGCATGGAGTCCGAGTAGTGAATTTGACTTTTCTCATCTTCCACCGCCGACTCAGAAAACGGGAAATCTTTTTCCTCCATGTTCTGGGTCGTTATCGTTCTCGAAATATCTTTGCTCGAACTATCCAAGTAAATAACAAACTCCTTATTTTCGGATATTAGTTGCTGCATCGCCAGCGCCTCAACTTCCTTTCCCAGCCACCAAAGGTAGCGGTAGATCTCGCGCAATTCCGACTTTTTGAAGTGCCAATGCGAGACCATCAGCCTATTGCCAACCTGGACGTTGAGCCACAGGGGCTGCGCCGACTCGCCTCTCCACGCGGGCGCGCAGAAGGGCTCCATCAGAGGAACGGGCGGCGAGGGCCCCATGATGAGTGGGCGATACTCGCCCCGGGAGGACTCCAAATTCGACCCGATCGCCGCGACGTCGGCCTCCGCGCCCGCC